ATATATGCCTGCATAATACACCGATATATGTTCGTGGCCACTATCTATAGAATAATGAACGATCGCAGTTCCATTAACAACACTGTATGCAGCGCCATCGTCGTCGCTGTCGTCGTCATCGTCGTCATCATCATCATCATCGTTGTCGTCATCGTCATTGTCATTGTCATCGTCGTCGTCGTCGTCATCATCTTCATCATCATCATCATCGTCATTGTCATCATTATCATCATCATCACTTGTGTTACAAATGTGTGAGTGTGCTTCGAATGTGTAGCTGCTACCTGGCTGCACCTACACACAGGGGCGAGTCGGCAAGATTGTGTCTGGCACGGGCGCGCATCGGGGAGGAAAGAACAAGCCACTTGTCTGCTGCGTGATCAGTGAGTGCATCACAGAGGGAGTGCGGGTTGTGTATATTTGTAGTCTAGCAAAGCAAGTGGGCGCAGTAGTAGTGAAGCGCGAATTGTTGGCTAGTGTGTTGCAGGCGAGCTATAGTCGCCAAAATCTGACTACAGCGATAGGCGCTGATTAAATAAATGGTCAGGAGCATACTAAACCAGCGCGCCGCCACCACCACCCACCCAAAAGCAGAACTTGCACGCAGACTGTCGGCTGGATTGCGATCAAGTCTTGAGTAATAGTTTGCTGCGTTGTAATTAGGTGTTAGTCTTATCGCGAGAAGAAGAATGGTTCTCATGGTCTTACGCGCTGGCGCGAAAGAAGCTCATTCTTCGCCTGATCGGCGCTAGAGGGGGCGTGGGTGCGACACTAGGCTTGGGCCCCGATCCCTGCGGGTTGTTACCCCTAACAGTGTTTTTTTAAGCAAGATAGCCTTACCATTAACTTTAATAATAGCGTTATTTTGGTGATAAATCGCAAGTACTGTAAATAGTGCTTCTCTGTGCTCGTGCATGCAACTCGGTGGGTCATCTTCCGGCGCATCTGTAATCGGAATCTCTGTGCCTTCCTCATACGTATAGGGTTGCGCCACAGTGCGACGCTCACACGCGTAAACACACACCACGACACACACCCACACACACAACACCACCACACACACCCACACACACACGCGGACGCACGCACGCACGCCACGCACGCACCGCACACACGGCACACACGCACCACGCACGCGCGCGCACGCACGCACGCACGCACGGACTACACACACACACACACACACCACACACCACACACACACACACGTAAATTCAGACAGGCAGTCACGTATATTCATGTCTGCAACTCTTCAGGATATCATTTCTTTCGGCGTTCCTCGCAATTAGCGAGAATTATTTGTGTAGAAAATCGACAGTAACGCATCTTTCAGCGCTTGTCGGCCCGCTCAAAGCGTAATTATCGGCGAACCAATGCTCGGATTAGAGCAAACCGGTACGTGCGAATAGTGACTTATCACATATTAGTGACAGACGCCGCTGTGATAAACCCAAGCAACAGATCATACATGATTGACTATCGTATCTGCGCATTCCGCTTTTTTTTTAAACGGGCTAAGTAAGTTTGTTATTGTCGGCCGACACATAATAGGTGTATGTCGAAGGAGCTCGTACACCCACGCGATTGCCGCATCCGGCTCTCGAAGGTCCATTACGCCCGTGCGATGAGTCAGAGAGGTGCTCGGTCATTTGTGCGCTACCCGATCGTGCGCTCGGTGCGCACGATTACATCTCGTATGCATGCGTCTCTTACCGCGTACATTTGTTCATGTCGCGGGGGGCTAACTCACACGGAGGTCTCCGAGCTCGGCTGGCACAGAAAACACTCCTTTTTTGACCGTCAATTTATTACCATTGAGCCGTGACCCTTATCGGTGCCATATGCACTGGGTAAATGAAGCAACATGGCAAACGAGTGTGGTATTACAGATGGGCGCCGGTTCGCGCGGAAATATCTCAGCCGATGTAGCACGAGTGGGAAACTACGGAGCTTGAACTGACAGACCGAATATGGCGGATGCTTCGAGACGGAGCGCATATCATAATTCAATGAAGCAAGCAACAATGTTCGCTTCGTCACTATGTCTAAATGTGTGAAGCAAGCGATGAGGTGCGTTGAAAATGAAAGAATGGATAGGAAAGGTTTCTCCTGTCCAATGCCTAGCAAGGTGTTTATCATACAACCGTAGTTACGACTTAAGTGAAAAATCCGTTATCGTGAACGGTGGTATTAGCGTACCATACCCGTCGCTGCGACGTTCTACCATGACGTTTGCTATGAAAGGCTGCGCGACCCGGACTTGGACTCGTCGCTTGTCTTCGACAGAGCGTTTAAACGCCGCCGACAATGCGCATCCAAACGCTAATTTCTCCAGTACTAGACTAGCAAATACTTCGTGTCATGCATAATCACACTACCTTATGCCAAAATAAACTCTAGTTCCTCCCATTTCACTGCGCGTTTGCTTAAAACCCACAAGAAAGAGGTGAGAAAACTGGCATTCTGGCGCAAACGCCGACTGTTTGCCAAACAATTTAGCCTCGAAGTGGTGAGGTGACGTTACATGTTTTTATCTTTGCTACACCCCTACCGCTGTACCGCAGCACCGCTGCGCGGTTGCTTGGGGAAACTGTCAACAACATCGGAGAATTTTAACAACATTGGAGGTATTTTCAAATACCTTTTATAAGACAACGCACAGTGAAATGGGAGGAACTAGAGTTTATTTTGTCATAAGGTAGTGTGATTATGCATGACACGAAGTATTTGCTAGTCTAGTACTGGAGAAATTAGCGTTTGGATGCGCATTGTGCGGCTTTAATACTAACATTAGGTCAAATCTAGAGCTAAAGCGAAGGCTATGCTATAAAAAGCGGTGTCCGTTCTTATTCATTGCTTCTCAGATTTCCCTATGTATATTTAACTTCTCCCTGATATGTAAGCTCGTTGATAACATTCCGTTTTACATATGCGCGTGTGCGTGCGCGTGTCTGTGTGTGTGTGTGCTCGCGTGTGTGTGCGTGTTGGTGTGTGTGCGCGTGCGTGTGTGTGTGTGCGCGTGCGTGCGTGTATGTTGGTGTTGGAGTTAGTGTTTTGTGTTTGTGGATGCGTGCGTGCGTGCGTGCGTACGTGTTATACATGCGTACGTACACACACGCGCGCACGCATGCACGCACATACACAGACAATGACACACGCGCGCGCGCACACGCACACACACACACACATTCACACGCGCTCATATATCGCGCACGCATGCACATACACAAATTTACGTACACACGTACGGATGCCTGCATACGCAGTCACACACATGCACGCACACACGCACGCACGCACGCGTGCAGGAGCATATATATCCCTCGTGCATTTCCGTGTGGACATGTGTGAAAAAGCTTTGTTTTACCCTGCGTCACCTCTGCCTCGCCGGCGGCGGATTGCTCACGTTCGGGCTTCACCGACGAAGCTGCGCCTCCTCACCAAATATCCGATATGTAGAAGAAGAACACGTGAGAGCGAGGGAGAGAGAGAGGTGAGGTGCTCGTAAAATTAGGGTAGCCATTAGGCACTTTGTTCTGCGCCCGGTGAAGTAATGGCGAGCATAAATAATAAAGTGAAGCAACTGGAGAGCGGCGGCGCTAGACAACAGCCACCGCATCTACGCCGTCAATTCCCAGCGGCGCTTCGCTACGTCAGCGCGATTTTTGACGAAAGGCTCCACGCTCGCCGCGGCCAGTGCACATGCATGTAGGCGGCACATGTATGGCGACGTTACACAGGTGTGCGCGCGTGCGCGCGTGCGTGAGTGTGTGTGTGTGTGTGTGTGTGTGTGTGTGTGTGTGTGTGTGTGTGTGTGTGTGTGTGTGTGTGTGTGTGTGTGTGTGTGTGTGCGTCGCGTGTCGTGTCGTGTGTCGTAGTCGTGTCGTGTGTGTGTCGTCGTAC